AAGAGAAGGAAAATAATAAGAAGAGTTCTCCTACTAAACCTATGTCAAGTCGCCCATTGAGGCCTTCCACTGCCCCAGACAAAGTTCAGGAGAATGATAAGAAAAAGGTGAGATATACGTCAGTGTTCAAGAACTTGGGAGATAAGTCGCTGAAATGAAATAAAAATTTATTGATGTCACATTTGTGATGAACGTGTGAAAACTACGTCACATTTTCAGGGTCCAATAAACAGTATTTGAATGAGATTATTGTAGAAACTTCAGTCGCGTGAGAAAGAGACAGATTACATAAAAAGAAATGTGGTACATTTTTACACAAGGCACGTATACATTTATCCCCTAATTTTATCAGACTATACTCTTATCTATCTGTAGAAACATTTTAATAATTATGCCTTCAATTGTATAATTTCTGTAGCGCTGATTTACTTAGGGCAATCAAAAAGTTCCCGGAATTGTGGTACAACACTGTAATGGTAGGAAATATGGCAACGTTTACCTCCGGAAGATTCCAAACGAAGCCTTCCCATTGTTGGAAGCACCGACGGAAGAGGCTTCGTTTGGAATCTTCCGGAGGTAAACGTTGCCATATTTCCTACCATTACAGTGCTGTACCACAATTCCGGGAACTTTTTGACTGCCCCTCGTATAACCTCTAAACACGCAAGTGAACCTTGCCCGTATGATAATGGATGCTGGTCCACTTTTATTTTGATCTTACGTGTAATATATCTGTTATTAACAGTTCAAAGTAAGCTAAATACATTTTATGAAAAGTATTGATAAATATTTTACTGTCAGAGAAGTACAGTCACGTTACCAGCTTGAAAATTGCTGTGCCATTTTTATTTTCGTGATGTCAAATGAATATTGTGACAGTTCCATTACTTAATGACAGAACTTAAAACGTTAAAATTAATTTAAACTTATATCATTGCTCCAGTAGATGTGAACTAACAGCATTACTAAGATGGTGATAGCAGTATTTAATCATTCATTGTTATTTATAATATGACCTTGTTGATGTTTGCGAGATAACATTATGCATTTTTGTATAATAGTATATCTGTGCTTTATACGTGTAACATTTTCTGCATTGTTGGAAGATATTGATAGTGTGAGATAGTGACAGTGGCCATTATTATTGGAAATTCTTGAAAGTGTGTGTGTGTAATGACAAACAATAAAATTCTTACTTCAGTGACCAACTGACTTTTTCTAGAGAAACTGTTTCTCTTTCAGCAAAATAACACCATCTTTAAAGTAAACATCTTATGCATGTTAACAAAGAATGCTATTTATCTAAAGGCTTAAATTATCATAGTTCCTAGTCACATTTGTGTTATGATTGTTTATAGTTTATTTTTTTAAACGTGAGTGAGCGTAGATCATCACTCACAACATTCACTAATTGTTGTCTGAGTCGCTGCCAGGATTGTTAAAAGACCACAAGTCTAGGTACCCTGACAGCGCTTTGAACAGCTTGAAGTAATTTAATAACCAAATTCTGTAGGGTTCTGACTATGGTGTGATACAGTCAGGTTTATAGGGTTTCTGGACTTTGTCCATTGTCCAGGTTAGAATGTATGTGACGCTTCGAATGCTGTTTTTGGAGCACGGTACGCATCTTAACCTTTGACGATGAACAAAGCTCAAAAAACCCAACAAATTCGAATTTAATAACTATTTAAAATGTCAGTTATACAGATAAAAATACTGAAACATATAAACATTTTACCAGATTTACTTTAATTTTGGCCACTAATTTTATTATCCATTTTCTGAGACGTTATTAAAAATTATTCATCTTACTTAAAAGGGAATAGCAGTGGAGCAAATTATTTTATGTTGTATAATAGAAGCATGAGCCCTGCATGCTGTGGCTTTTAATGCATGTTAATGTTATCATTGCAGTATTGGTTACTGCAAAGTAATTTTAGTTTTATTAAGCTAAATAATATATGTAGGGTCAAGGGGTAAATGGAGAATTTATCTCTGTAGATGTTCGTGTAATCTTTTTTTATGAGAACAGAAAAACATTTTCATATGGATATTAATGATGACTTTTCAGAATAAAAATAATGTGTTGTATTCTTGAGCGTTGTTTTAATATAACTGTAACATGGTTTCCACTTTTCATAAAGTTGTCCAAGTCTATGTTGATGAGCACGCGAGGTAAGGTTTTCCGACAATTCTTCCGTCGACCCTGCAGAAATTATATTTCTATATATGTGTGAAGATATTTGATAGTTTTCGATATAGAGAGCAGTACATCTTGCTATTTTTTTTTGCAGGCTGAGAAGGACGAAGAACTTAAAAAGGACATTCCACGTTCAAGAAAAGATTACCTCATAAGACACCATCTGGAACGCACCACTGGTGCAGGTGAGATGTTTTCTTAATATGTTGTAACACTGAAAAATATTTGTTTCCTGAGAGTTTTAGAACTTTATTTTAAGTGATCAGATTTGTGCATTGATCTAGTCTTTTCTATAGATCACTTTGATCATGAACTCTTAAATCATTTTTACATTAATCTTTAATGATTTTTACCAACCATGAGAATGTTTACTTTTCTGATTAATGATTCAAATATGTTTCTTAAAAAAATGGGAAAATGTTGATGGTGGTTTTGTATTTCAGAAAAGTAAAAAAGCTTAGTTATGCTTTTTTATTATTTGTATCGAAGTAGTAGTAGTAGTTGTTTGCTGTATTGGAGAATATTGAATATCGAGACCGAAAATTCAATGTATTGAAGTAGAGTGATGTAATCGGTCAGAATCAATTAACAGTTTGGAAGACATTGACCGTCATTTGTTATTATGAGACTGTATTGAGTTTACATTTCTCATTTGCAAGGCGCATGTGATGAATCTGCTGTTTCAACCAGGCCATATAACAAGTCAGTCATTCAGTCAGAAATAATTGCGATCAAGGTTATGTTCTCTTCACCTCACCCATATTTGTTAATGTGTGTGTGGTCTGCTACGACACCATATTATAATTGGATATTTTTATGCAAACAAGAAGCAAGACATTAAAACACGTTAACCAGAATTACTGCTACTATTAATGATATAGTTTGTTCTGTTATTTATGTTTTGAGGTTATGTAATTTGAACTTTACAGATTGCATATTTCTGTGTTTAGATTACAGTAGTAATAAAAGGTAAATTATATATAATTGAGGTTTTTAGAATGGTGCTCCTAAAGTCCAAAATTATTTAGGTTGAATGAAAAGGCACAATTCACAATAAACTCTCTCTACTCTACAAAGGTACGTGGTAGTTCGTCATGTCATCAATAAATCTTACTAGTTTCTGCTTTCAACATGTTTCCTGTACTTATATGCCAATCAGAAATTCATGGTCGGTATACAAATTAGCAAGGAAATAACAATACATGTAAAATACAGGTATTAGAGTTCCAAATTGGAACAAATACCCAAGACGAATTCCATCATGGAGTACCTGATTTTGTGACAGTTGATGGAGCTTTGTTGCCCTCTCCAACTCGAGAGAAACTTGAGCCAGTTACACCTCGCCAGAAGGAGGAAGATCTTCCTAAGAGTCCCCAAAAAGCCAGCCCTAAAAGTAGCCCCAGATCAGGTAATCTTGAACAATTACATAATAATACGTAGTGTCTCTTATTTTTTTATTGTACATAATTTTACTAGGATGTGTTTTGTTCCTCGTGTAGAAATAATCAATGCAGAAAATGTGTCATTGATATTAAATGTGCATTAGAAATCTTTACCCAAGTTATTTAACCTACATGGGAAGTGTTTGACTTGTATAATTTCATTAGTTCCTGATACCTTCCAGTAAAATTCAAGAATCCTGTTAGATTCTGACCAGGTAATTGCTTCATACACAGAATGTCAGTTTTTGTAGCAGTGGAAGGTGTTTATAGTCCCTAAGATCCAGTAGATAATTTTATTAAGAAAACTTTTATTGGTTCTTCGTAGATGTGCATTAAATATGAAAGAGCGGTGGTCAGAATAATAATACCATGTGATACTTTGTTATTGGGGATTTCCTTCACAGTTAATGGAGTCATCAACATTGTATCTGTATATGCCAATGTTCCAGCTCGTTCACAATCAGTGGGCCTGGCTGGCGATAATCGTTCCCCAAAACGTCAACCTAGAACTCCGTTGGCAGCAGCTACTCAGCCAAGTAAGGTGAACGGACCCGTGCAAACTGAGCGCCGACCTCGTCCCAGTAAGTAGTTACTTTAAGAAATGTACTGTTAAGAGGTGTACACCACGAACATTCAAATTGGCATTTGATCAAAGACGAAACTGATACTTGATAATGGACTGTGATCTGAAGAGAACACAGTGAGACCGAGAAATTCATATCCAGATCTGTAGCTGTTTACTTAATTAAATATGAGTTTAATTTTTAGGTTTTATGTATCAGCTTTAAAACAAAAATCTTGCACACACTAATATTACACAGTGTAAGTAAATTATTAAACATAAAGTGCTGCATGTTTGTGGAACCTTTCCTTTGTTTTAAGTTTAAAAGATCTACAATGTTTTATAAGCTGGCTCCGTGTCCATCATCAGATGAAACTTAGAACCTAAGAAAAATAAAGTGCTGCATGTTTGTGGAACTTTTCCTTTATTTTTAAGTTTAAAAGCTCGGCAATGTTTTATAAGCTGGCTCCGTGCCCATCATCAGATGAAACTTAGAACCTAATCAGTTCGGTCCATTGTAGAATGCTTATGCGAGTCCCTGGAGATGGAGATTAGCTTTTCTAAAATGCTGTGATTCTTTAAACCTATTGGAAAAGGAGAATGTCCACTAATATGCATAATTTTAATGATAAACCATTAAAAACCTTTGGACTTATATTATTAAGGATCATTTTGAAGAACTGTTTAGTTTCACATTTCAAATACTGTGTTAGTTTCTAGGTTATTGTTTGTATGTACGACTAACGTCTCACATTTACAAGAAAGGTGAACCGACAAGACTACAGTTTTTTTTTTAAATGGTTCTTAATACTTGCTGTAAAATAACTACCGAGACTCATATTTAAGATAATTTCTGGGACCATAACGTTATCTTTATTCTATGCTGCAAGCTGAAGGCATAGCTGGTACCAGAATTTTAAGATTTTTAACATTCTGTCTCTCGTGCTTCAATTCGCTGCTCCCATTCCTCACCTTTTCTCTTGGTATATTTTTTAGTGTAATATGTGGCAAGGGATAACATGTAGGAGGTTATAAAAGTCATAAGTTTTGAGCTGAGAAATATTGTCTCCGAAATTGAAGGTTTTTTAATATACTGATAGTTTTATAGTGCCTGTATCTTGTGTGTGTGACTAAAGTGAACTTTTATAATTTAAATACTCAGTTTGCTGGATAAATCATAATCATCATTTTCACTATGTTCCTCATCTTCATGATAAAACGTGTTCTCAGGGTTTTTGTTTATGCAACTTTGCACCTTGAATAAGCTTTGTAAGTATATTATTTTATTCTAAAGACCTACAATATAAGGTCTAGAACTTCTTATTTTACCTGTTGTAGATTGTGAAGGATAGATAATATTATACCACTGGCCATCACCATAGAATAATTATGATTCGTAAAGAATTTTATTAAAAGAAGGGGGAAAAAATGTGACATAATTATTTCATATGATTAAGACTAACCAAAATATGTACGGAGTACGCAGTCAGATATGATTTTAGTGAATAGTCATTTCTCTATTAGCTTTAAGATTATTATATATTTTATAATTTATTTTAGTTTCGTGACTAATTGCGAGTGTGTGTATGTGCAAAATGTAAGTATTTTCCCAGCAGCTGTTGAGATGGTGAGGATATACTCCATGTTGATCGCCTTGTATATGAGTCACATTGAAGAAGGCAAGTCAGTAGTGTGAGGGAATTGTGTAAATGATAATTTACACAATTACATGCCCTATCTTAAGCTGTACATACTTGGTAGATAAATATGGTATGTTCCCCTTCCCTTTGATATATGGTAGAAGAATGTGTAAGTAAATAAATAACCGCATTTCTTCGTTATGCAGTGACGAGTAGAAATGGATTGTAGTATCATATATTTTATGATTGCACTAACAGAAGCTGGGGATTGTTTAACTGAACATGGTACTTATGTTCTTAAATTAAATCGTAGTAATGAGTTGTGGTATTGTCTTATTAATATAATATGAAGTTATACTGTAAACTGAAGAGTATTAGCATGATACAGAAGTTGGAAGTGAATGGTATTTCAGTTGAATACATGCAGCTAGACATGAAAACACTGTACATACATTGTCCAGAATATTTATATTTACTTTAAATTATTCTTAAATTGTTGGTTTATAACTTCATACCCTAGAAAAAATAATTCTTTTAGTAGTTCTTTAAAACACTTGTTTATTTTTGTCATTTGTTTACAGTTTCAAATATGAAAATATTTACATTTTTTCATCTTCAATAGCAGTTTTTTTCTTTTCTTATCGCATGACTCGTGTAGCTTTCAGATTTTGTTGATGTATTACTAGCCAGTATTCCGTATTTTAAATTTTGAAAGTAATAAGTTTAATTTTTAGTATTTCATTAGTTTGTTAAAATTCATTTAGACATTTAAACACTAATTTTGCTCAAGACATATATAATTTTACATGTAGTCATTGAAATGCAGAAGACAACAAACACATCATTCATTTCTATTGAATGGTTTGTCCAGTAACCTTACATATACATGTACCTTACTAATACTAATGGATTGCTGTAGAATGTGATTTTTAAATTTTTATCACATTTGTGTATAGTGAATGAAATTAAGACATTTAAATTTTTTGTTCTAAAAAAAATATGTATCGAAAATTAATGCATTAATTCTATAGAACAGACTGTGTCTACAACCTCTATAGCATAAACAGATCACACTTCATAAACATTTTTTTATTGATCACCAAAGCTATTAACCTCAGAACAGAAGGAATTACAACAAATAAAAAAGTTAAGGAACTCCTGTAATTAATTCAAATGTTTCTAACGTGCTAGGCAGAGAAATTGTCATGTGATCTTTTCAGCTTGCGGCCCGGCTAGCGGGAAGCCTCCTCTCCCAGCTTCGAACCGGCAACGAGCGAACGCCCAGTCAAAACCCCAACCCCTCTCTGGAACACGTACGTTACATCCATGATCAGTCGCCTGCCTGCTATTCTATCTGTCTATTTTGACTCATATTAGCCTCAAGTAAACCAAACAATTTCCAGACAAGACAAATTGAAATGAGTCTTTATTGGTTACAGTAACAGAGTATATAACCCCATTTGAAATCCATACACAGTATGGCAGAAGCAGTCGATAGGTTCAGCTTTGTTTTCAAAATTATTTGAGGTTATGTTATTGTTGAATTTAATTGCAATCCTATTGCCTTCTGTTGTTAAATACTGACTGAAAGTAATATTCGTAATCAATATGACATATAAGAAATAATATTGTAAAATAAGGATTTAATGTATTGTAGGATGAATGTCTATATAATTTAATATTTACAATATATACAGGACGTTCTTGCCGTAGTACTTGAGTAATATATTTTCGTTATAAATGACATTTCCTCATAATCTTGACATGCAACTGTGCAAGGAATTTAAAGTGTAAAATGTTGAAGTTGGCTTTCATCATTGTCGTCCTCTCCGATATAGTGAGGATTATTTTGCATTAAATAGTTAACAAAGCCGAAGAGCCATCTGCAGTAGAGGCAAAAGTGGCTTCTGTCATGCAGGTTACAGATGAGTTTTACCTGACCCTTTCGTGCACTTACACGTGAAAAATTTCCATGTGATGAGTAATTAATTTATTCCATACATAAATATAGATATTTACAAATAAATATTATATTTATTTTAATTCATTGCTTTCTCAATTAATTGAGATGTTTCTAAGCATATATATGAACTGAATTATTTCAGAATTCACTTCATTGGCCTATTCTGATCTTGGGGTCTTTTCTGTTCTTGTCAGTCGAACTTGGTTAATTTGGTTATCAGGATTATAATTAACATTTCAGAGTTATGCAGATGCAGGTACCTGATATATACAGAGAGTAATTCTGGTTTTGTTTCTGCTGCTACTTCTATTATGATAACCAGTTCCAGTTATTAGCAGTGAAGTTTCAGACTTTATCTACGCTGTAGCAGTAGTGGGCTGTGCAAAAACAGATGTACATTTTTCTCATATCATGCAGTGTGTTGAAATACTACTGTTAACCAAATTTTGTATTGATGTCATTATGTCTGTCTCATTCAGTAATTTGACTGGTTTGTCTTGAGGCTAAAAGTGAAGTCGATGACCAAGCTGGGCTAGTCAGTACGATTTGGATTTTCAGAATGCAAGTGCTCAGCTTTTGCTCAGTTCATTCCTCCAGTGCTATGTTGGTACAGAATGGAGATCAAGACTTGTTGATTCATTTTAAAGAATCTTAATATCTACGATCAGAATCAGATATACTGTGGCACAGAGTGAATAAAATGAACCCAAGTCCAGTTGTTGTCATTATTCCAGTTGGATATAAGTGTTATGCTTAAACATTCCAATAGACTTGGGAAATATCAGTAGATTGCAATATAAAACTTGTAAAAATGTTGCATTAACTGTGTGTTACGTGAAATTATATACAATTTTTCATCATAAGATGATGTTGACTTTATTTGAAAAGAGGCGTCAGTTTGACCGTTATGATCGTGTATATTACGAGCTGTGATCGTGAATGTTTGAGCACATTCTTAGGACAGTTTGACGTATACGTTTATAACTCACGGTTACTGGGATGAGATGCCACGTATTTATAACAAACATCCAGTGTACTACCACTTAGTTATTCATTCAGTATAAAATCAGTTGATAACAGTTCAGTCTGCACTGTAGAGTGCCCCTAAATGCAGGCCTTTAATTTCAGGGTCACTTCGCTAAGATCAGTAATATTTTTAATTTGGCTTACCCATTCAAATTAATCCTTCATTTGTTGTTTTTCTGCCAGAATTTGTTGCATTATATGGAAATGTGTGATATAATACAGCATGTTAGTAAGACTGGCCTGGCAGCTCATTTATAGACGTATTTATAAATATCAGTATAATGAAATATCCGTGACAGACTAAACAAACCTTAATGGGACTGTAGATGTATACAGTATTACACGCATTGAAGCAGCTCAGAAAAGAACTTATTATTAACTATAGTTAAT